GGAATAGAGATGATCATGAGGTTTTTTTTGAAGGTTATTGTAAATTGATTATTAGTAGTAAAATCAACACCAAATGAAACATAACAAGATAAACATGATCAGTTGGAATTGATGGGACCGGTGCAAATTAAACTCTTAAAACACACTGTATGAGCAGAAAGGACACCTTCTAGAATGAAAATTACATCTACTTCTGAGAGAGGAAAAGCCATGTGATCAAAGAGATCAGATATGAATACATTGTGTTGAGGGCAAGATATGAGGCCTGCTTCTGCAGCTCAGCTGCCAGTAGCGTGGGGGAGCCCTTGCCGGGGCTGTACCGGCCTCCCAGGCCTCCCCCTGCCTCCCGGGACTCCCCTTCCTTGGCAGGCCCGGCTGCCTCGGGGGCATAAGGAAACGGTGTATATTAATGTCAAACTCCAAAGGAAAAATTCTAAAAAGGGACATAATCTGGTGTAACGGCAGGAATGGCCACAGGGCAGGTTCTCTATGACCCAAACAGATGGGCGAAGGAGGAGTCCTGGAGCACTCGGTGGCTTTTCAGCCTTTTTATTTTTTTTTCCTGTGGGACCCTCGCCGGCGGCCAGGGAACGAACCGGCACTGCAGAGGCTGCAGCCTCGCAGCCCAGGGCTCAACCGCTGCGCCACCAGGGGAGGCCCCTTTTCTAGCTTTTATTGGGATTTACCAGGCACACAGCAGACAAAGGGTGCTGGGGCCTGACAGCCTCCCGGCCCCCAGCAAGTTTTCACTCTGTCTGGGCTCTCTGGCCTTCTCTCATGTTCTCTCTGCTTCTCTCGTGGTTCTGCTGGCGTCCCCGTGACGCTGCCCTTATAAGCCCAGTATTAACCCACGTGAATCCCACTTACGCATGCCCACACCCCACTCCAGGTGCTGCCATCAGGCATGCATTCAGGACAGCAGGGATCCATCATCACTCCTAATGGTGGGAGGGCAGAAAAGCCTGATACTTTTTATTTACCCTACATATGGTTAAAGACACCTGTGCCAGGCGTGGGGCTGGGCACTGTGCAGAGTGTGAGAGAAACGGATCAGTGGATGCCTGCCTTCGGGCAAATGCACTGGCCACTAAACACTGGGGGTGGGGGTGATGCTGGTTTTGCAGCTGCCCCTGGAACTATTACGCACAGCGCTGGGATGCTGGGGTGCTGCTGCTTTGAGAAGCTGGTGACATCCCTGGCTCCTGGTTCTCCTGCTCCATCTCCAAGGCCAGAGTGCTCACATGGCACCACTGTCACTCTGCCCTCAGCATCCCTCTTCCACTGTTGGAGATCTAGATTGGCTTCTTGAGGCAGCCCTAACAGATGACTGCAAACTTGGTGGCTTAAAACAACGTAAATTTCTTTGCTCGCCATTCCATTCTGGCCATCAGAGTCTGAAATCCAGGGGTCAGCAGGGCCACCCCCTCTGAAGGCCTCAGGGGAGGATCCTTCCTGGCTTCCTCTAGCCGTCCTTGCCTGGTGGCTGCGCCACTCCCAATTTCTGCCTCTGTCTTCACATGGCCTCATCCATGTGGGTCTGTCTCAAACCCCTCCAGCTCCCTTTTATAAGGATACATGTGACTGCACTCAGATTATGTGGGATCGCCCAAGGTTACCTCATAAGCACAGTTCTGATAAACTCCTCTCGAGATACATATTTAATCATCTTTTCCTATCTAAGGTAATATTCATTCTTGCCATATAATATTCAGGTCCTAGGCATATGTAAGAGCCTAGGTCTTGGGGTGCCATGTTTCGCCTACCATGAGAAACCACTTGATTGCATTGGGCCGCCCAGATACTCCCAGACACTCCCTATTTAAGGTCAGCTGATGAGCAGCCTCGCTCCGTCTGCACTTCTAATCCCCCTCTTTCAGGTCAGGTTTTGGGGAATAAGACGTGAGCATTCTTTTTTTTTTTTTTTAATGATTTATTTATTTATGCATACAAGAACTGGGGTGCAGGCCAGAGAGGTGCGGGAGGTGAGAGGATTCACCAGAAGAGTGGGGAGCAGAACAGGCAGATCTATTGAAACGCACTGCTGAGGGGAGCAGCGGGTGAGGCAGGAGTGGTCTGCTATGCCATGTGGGTTTCTCTCTGGCTGGCTGAGGATCGAACTCATGCTGCAAATGGCTGGTGATAGCTTGATAGCGCTGTCTTTAACCTCTGCTCCACCAGGGAGGCCCAAGACATGAGCATCTTTGCATCAGTCTGCCTCCCATGCAATGTGGTATAACCATTGTGGGCAAAAATGCATTCCCCCAAATTCATATGTTGCATTTCTAACCCCCAGGACTTCAAAGTGTGGCTGTATTGGAAACAGGGTCTCTAAGGAGGTGATAGATATAATTGAAGTGAGGTTATTAGTGTGAGCTCTGATCAAATACTAGTATCCTCACTGGAAGAGATGGGTGCCCTGACAGAGGGAAGACCAAATGAGGAACAGGGCGAGGACGGTTTCTGCAAGGCAGAGAAAGGCATCAAAAGAAACCACCCTCCTGACACCCTGACCTCCGACTTCTGGCCTCCAGAATTGTGAGAAAATGTATTCGTGTCGCTTAAAGCACTGAGTCTGCATAGTTAAGGCACCCCGAGCACACACTACAGGCAGGTGCGCAAAATGTTCCATCCATGACCGACCTCGTCCTTGGCAGCGGCCCTTGCATGTGCAGCCTCGCTATGTAGGAGGTGACACCGCCGAGGTCTGCGTGATCACGCTTTGTCACATCCGCACAAACGCAAACTTGCTAAGGACACATTTCTCAGAACAAATCTCTGTTCTTTAGCGATGCCAAACTGGTATTCGGTCATATTCACAGGTCCCACCCATATACGAAGGGAGGGGCTATACAAGCTGGGTGCACCAGGGAGGGGGTCCCTTGGAGGTGCTGGAGAATTTTGCCAACCACAGACAGCAACCCCTTCAGACCCATTATGGCCAAGTCAGTTGGAAGAACTGGTTTAACTTCACTAGCTGGCTTCGTTTTGCTGAGCTTTCTGTGTTTCCCACTTGACATCTAATCTGAACTCTAGGTGGTTCAAGGTGAGTTTGGAGTAAGGAGGGCTGAGCCGTGAGAGGAGCCACAGGACTGTCTCGAGCTAGAAGCAGCAGGAATACTTGGGGAAAAGGCATGATGCTCTCGGTGTGTCCTTCATCCAATTTTTAGGAAAGAAACAAAATACGCAAATGCGAACAGACTTCATTTTTCACAGCCCCCAAACATTTTCATTTTCTAAAATGAGTATTTTTAAAGCAACAAAATCTGGCTATGCAAGATACATTTTTCTTTAAAATACATAATTTCTGTAGTTTACATAAAACTGAGAAAATCAGATTCCATTTCTACTCTAACTTTCTGCATCTGTGCATGTTAACCTGACCGGGTTGCTGGTCATTGTAGAACCTGGGTGCTGCCCCCTCATCATGGTCTGCAGGGCACGCACAGGGGGTCCCAGCTGGAGGTACATCCCAGGAGACCTGGTGAAACTGTGGGGCCCAGGCGCCAGGTGCACATGTGCACACCCAGCAACACGCCTCTTTGGGCGCCACGCTCACCCGCCACGTGGACCTGCGTTTCCAACCAGAGGCCATAGGGGGTTGGTGATAGAGGGTGTGTGTTTTAGGGCTTCAAAGCCGAGTGCAGATTACTGGGAACAAAGAACCCCAGAACCAGGTGAGATGACAGATGGCCCTCCTACTTGTGCCAGTCTCCTTCTGAGGCAGAATTTGGGGCCAGAGCACTGTGTTGGCATCTTGCCACTTACTGGGGAGCAGAAGGGGTACTCAGCCCTCATGCAGCTGTCAGGTCTTCTGGAGATTGTTCCTGCCCCGGCCCACCGCTGGCATTGTCTCCAGAGGCCATGCCTCCCACCCCCACCGCTGCTTGTGTCCGTGCCCACACCCAGAGCCACGGCTGAGGAGCCAAGTAGAGCAATGTCACTCCAAATGATGGGGCTGGGGCTGCTTTCAATCGAGAGTTGAAACTGGCAGGTGAGAAAGAGCCGGCAGCGGGGAGAGGGTACTGTTCCCCAGAGGAGGGAACAGCCAATGTGAAAGCTGTGATTCTGTCGGGGGTGGGGCGCACAGAAGTCTGGCAAAGTTGGGCAAGAGGGGAGCAAATGAAAAACGAAATGACGCCAAGTAGCCTTACCTGCAGGCCGTGGATGGAGTCTGACGACGGGCGCCGCGGGTGGCTTCTCAGCAGAGGTGTGGCACGGTGACAGGTGTGGCGTGGCGACGGGGCATTTCTAAGGGAATCACTGAGCTGCTCTGGGGTGAAATGACAACCAGAGCCAGGCCAGCAGCAAAAGGCAGTCAGAGGTGCCAAGCACGGAGCGAAGCCTCCCGCCCCAGGTGGAAGCAGTGAAGCTGATGAGCGGCAGGTGGGCCCACAGAGTGTGGCAACCCCCTTCCCTCCAGCCGGCCCGGCGCTCCTTTGAGGGACCTCCCTGGCTCCTGTGTTTCTCAAAGGGCCCCTCGAAATGCATCAACGGCAAAGCCGCAGGTGACTAGACGATGAAGTGAAAAGGTGGCAGCAGGGACAAGTATTTGGGAAACCATTCCGTCTTCTCTGTCACTTCCTTTACTTCTGAAACCACAGATTTTCATTTGTTCAAACCGTTCTGTTAGGATCCGCCTCTCTCCAGAGAGCCCAGAAGTGAGGATCCTTAAGAAAGGGAGGGCATGAGAGGGGCGCAGGGACTGTTTCTTGGCAACCCAAGGCTGTTTCTAGGCGGGCCTGTATTCACACTTTTTATTGCACGTAATTCACTCGGTGAAGCAAAGTCAATACGGATGGTCGGAGACCCTGGAGAAGACTCCTGATCTTAAAGTGAGCCTTCAACACGGCGGGCGTGGGGTCCCACCTAGTGTGAGCCGCCCTTCCAGTCGTGGCAGCCCTCCCGCCCCAGGCTGGGCACTCTGCAAGGGCCAGCGGCGCGCGGGTGCTGTAAGGTGTCGGCAGAGAGGCAAAGCGAAGCAGTTAATAAACGTAAGATGGACGGAGTCAGGACACAGAGGGGCATCGCGAACATTTTTAATGACAACAGATGGTCAATTTATACAAATTACAGGCCAGAATATAATGAATACAAAATCCATCCAGAGAACAGTTAGAAAAGCATCACTTACAAAAGTAAATCTGATTCAAGTGGCGAAAGAACTCAGGCCCCATTCTCATCATCACACACAGCTTTCCACGGAGCGCACCTAAGCCCCAGCCCTCGTCAGGGCGCTATCAACACTACCGTGGCGTCAATGACTAGGGATTTAAAGATTCTACCACGTTTAGCATCAATGTCAAGAGACATCTCGTAACAGGTTCACTATGCAAAACTCAAACGAGAATATGTGAACGTTCTTTGCAAACTGTAAGGTGCTGTGCAGATGTTAGCTATTGCTATTACTGCTCAGTGAGATGTCACTGAACTTGAGACAAAGGAAGACTAGTCTGTGTAACTGACAAATATGACCTAGAGAACATCTTAAAAGGGACGCAGCTGTTACTTTCAAGTACACGTAGCAATAAAACAGGCAAGGGCAGCACGGCCAGGAGCCACGGCCAGTTGAGGCATTCCAGGCCACGCTACTGAACACATAGGGATCAGCTACTCATACATTGCAAGGAACAGTTGTCCTTAGGTTCCCAAAGTCCCTGCAAATATTTACTTCCTCAGATGACCCTTCCCCCTGGCAAAAAGGAAGACGAGATGCCGCCAAGTCATTAATGAGCCCTCAAGCGTGGCTCCTGCAAAACTAGTTTAGACGTGAGGGCCGAGCCCGAGCTGCAGCTGAGCCCGCACACAATGGCCGCAGCAGTCCGCTTCCCTTGAGCAGAAATAAATGATGCACAGGAACTTGTCTGGAGAGAAATCCAACTAGACTCTTTCACCACAGGCTCTAAAGCCTTGTTTCACGTCTCTTCAGCTGGCACCTCTGGTGGGGACACCTTAACCACTTAACTGTTCCGACTGGTCTCCTTGGGTGTGCTAGCTGTGTCCGCGACGTGTACACGCGATGGAAACTAAACACCAAGCAAGTGACTCAGTTGCGTCTTTCAGCAAAGCTGATGAGATTTTTGTGATGGAAAGTCTAGCACGTAAACGTGCTACTGTTCGAGTCCCATGAAGCAAGTTTTTTCTATAAGGAAGATTTAAATTTTCTTTCAACAACTCAAAAGTGAATTCTGCTGCTACAGGTAAACTGGTACCCGCTTGAAGAGTTAATGACATCAGATGCATTCCATAGCAGACTTTTCATCTGTTAGCACAATGGGGAAAAAAGACTTTATCCTGGAGGCAACACGGGAGGTGAATGAGGAAAGCAATGTGCTGCAGGAGATGGGGTCAAAGCAGCAGCTTATATTGTCCCTTCGCTACGCTTCCTAATTGAGGTTATTCCTACACTCAGCTTTCAAACAATAGTGAACGTGTACCTGCCTTAACACACTGATAAGGGCTCGACTGTAGTGTTCCTTTCTCTACATCTGGCAGTATGTACACTGTGCAGAAGGAAAGCTGTGAAACGTCCTGAAAAGTAAATCTGTATGTCAGACACCACATTATTTCAATAGCAATAAACTAGTGAGTTGACAGTTAAAATCCTAGGAGAAAATGAACTGGTTCGAAAACAAGTCTATATTGTAATAGTCCTAAATACTGACCCTAGGTCTGACTCTAATTTTCAAACACTCGGTACTTTTTTCAAGAGGAACTTACAACTGCTTTTGTATATATCCCTGATTCAAATACTTGCAGAAAATACCCATTGTATCCACTCAGCAGGTGACTGAAATCAAACAAAATAAACCAACATTAATATTTTACAAACATCATGAGGTCCTCAAAGTACAAGAAAAACCCTGACATTATAGAAAAATAAATTAGGCGAACAACAACCCTAAGTAGGACAAGGCATCTGAAGGAGCCATCTAGAAATCTACCACAGTGCCCCAGACCCAACGAGAACATCCTACAATTTTATATTAAATTTGTACAACTTTATACTAAACCTGTAACTTTTTTTTTAAAGAAAAAGTTTACATTTAGGATAATTGTTTAAAGATATTTAAACTGTAGACAAAATTTAACTGCAAGAATAAAGAATAGTCCTACAATAACCATCTTGTATTTTTTTCTCAACAATTTAACACACATAAGTACTTGGCCTTCATGCTTGACCCTCTCCTTACATCGTCTAGTCCAGTTCCACACCAAAAACAGGGGTGAACAAATAAATTTGTACTGGCAAACACTGAGAGCAAGGGCTGTTGGAGAAGGAATTATCAGCAACAGGAAATCTGAACAAGATATCTAGTTAAAAAGGGTAGAATGTGCTTTCTTAGAAAATGGCCAACAGCCACTCATGTGATAACATGCATATAGCTGTTAGGTCAAGATGGCAGAATCTAAACTTAAAGTGTACACGGGACTAGTCTTAGAAATGTAGGCAGGGTGCAAACCAGAACAGTGATTCTCTCCAGGAGCCAACGTTACAGTGAATTCAAAATTTTTTCCTGTATTAATATGCATTTTTCCAGATGTTTTTAGATTGCGCACAAATAGTAACAAGTGTCTGGAAAGAAGATAGACTGAGGATACCGAAGTAAAATCACAGGATCTTGTTCCATCAGAAAAGACCTCAAGGATGATAAAACTATGTGTGTGTGTATATATATATATATATTCTCAATATATAGAAATATCTGGGCTACAACAGCTCTGATTTAAAAGACTAGTCTGGAAATTCCAAGAATACTTCCTGGGTGATAAAAATAATCAATTTTCAAGATTTTTTATACTCCCTAAGTTTGCAAAAAATGAATACATTTAAATGTCAGTCCCTATCACATACATTACTTAAAAAAAAAAAAAAAACAAATATGCCACAGGAAAAACAAATTTAAAGGGCATTTACACAAACCGTGTCATTAAAGCCTTACTTCATCACTGAATGACAAAGCAAAGCAGATCAGGAGTTAGTCCTGCAAGCAGCAGGCTAGGCTTCGGAGAGCAGGCTGCGTGCCCAGGCAGCTAACTCTCGGCTTTGCTACCTGGCTCTTTCAACAGAGCAGTTCTTACAAAACGAGTGAGGGGCACAGCCTACCTTCTCATGAAATACCGTGATGAAGGTTCCTGCTGACCAGGTGCAAAATTCCTCAGTGACACTCAGCTTTGCCCCAGGCCCAGCACTTAGGCAGCCGGCCCTGCGTCCCTAGTCCAGTGACCTGCTGTTTCCGCCACAGGTAGGAGAGCACTCCAGCGTAAAATGACCTTTAGATTTGCTTCACTGCGTACATCTCAATGTATGCAAAGGAGTAAAATTCAAAACCAACCAAAAGACAAAGTTCTTCAAAACATTTTTTTGTTGTAAGATAACCATATCATCCCCAGCACAACGTGGAACTAATTGAACATACTTCTTTGTAACCAACTGCACTTTTCCAAACTCTCAGTTGCAAATGACAGGCTCATACAGTGAAAAGTGATGACAAAAACCATGGTTAGAAGGTGAACACTTACACTGTCAAATGTGACTACTGAAGATGGATTTTAATGTGTTCTTTCAACTTTATTGAAATCATGAATATCCCAGACGCGATTACCATTTCAAAAAATCGCTTTAATGCTATCAAAAGATGATGTTCACATCAATCCTGTTTGCCTTCACGCCACTGTCTTGAGCCTTCATTCCAGGCCACATAAACAAAGAGGGCCAGCACCACGTGGACGGCGACCACGGCCACGATAGCAGCATAAAAATAGCTGTCCCTATTGGACATCCCAAAGGCGCCTATCAAGAGAAAGAAAGTTTTTGTTTTATTCCAAAACTTATCAAAGTACAAAAAGCAAGCATACCAAATTTTATGAGCTACGTATTTAACCAGTCAGGCAATTCAAAGTATTACTGTGGGGAATGATAAATGAAGTATTCTCTTCAAGACCTGAATACCTTCTACAAACGAAACATTCATTTTGAATGAAAAATATAACTATCCCTTCATTTAAAGGTTTCAATATAAAAAGGAAGACTTAATTTTCTCTTCGTCCCAAGGTCTGCCACCCCAGGTACATTCCCCCAAATTCCTCCTCCCATGTCAGCCAACTCTCACACTCAAAGAGATATTAAGAAAGGATCTACAGGCTGAGTCACAGAAGACCATAAACTGTCAAGTGCAGTAACTATAGGTAATGAAAAAGCTCAACTCACAAAATAAGATTCGTTATAAGCAACGTGATTTTTGAATAGCAAGACAGTGAGAAGAAGCAAAGTTAAGAACACCCTGTTTACAGATACAGAGTCATAAAAGCTTAGAATTTAAATCTAGTAAGAGGGAAAATGGCTTGTTTTATGATCTACGATTACCTTCAAATACGTAGGATTTAGTTGTGAAATACAACCCAATAGGTACAGTGATCATTAAAGCCGTGAAGAACAGGAGCGTCTTCAGAGTAGATGCTAATGAACTTTCATTTCTGGAATAAAGTAAACAAAGAGAAAATCAGAGCCTGTACAGCCATTTCTACCATTCTTGTGTCCATACACGATCCAGGCACCCATAGAGAAGATGCTGGAAACTAGGCCCCAGCCTTGGAAACAGTGACCACAAGAAGAAGAGCAGAGTCAGAAACTCCAAAGTGGAAGATCTTGGAGACCCAGCTGTGGGTCACCTCTGAGACTGCCATTCAGACCCAGGGTGAGAGGAAGCTTCAAAGTGCTATGCAAACTCACATTTTAATTACAGAATTTATAATGGAGGCAGCAAGGGAGGGTCACAGAAAACAAGTAATAAATGTTCTTCACAAAGCATCCTACCAATGACTGACTAAACATGGTACAAGCAAGGTAGGACAACCACAAAGAAAAACCAGCCTACAACCATCTGGGTGCAACTTACTCAAATTTCTTTGTAATTAAATAACTGCAGTAACATTTAGTTGGCATGGCTGCATTAAAACTTTGATGTCAAATGGCATGAGTTTCTCTTTTTTGATTGCTGAATAATATTCCATTGTGTATATGCGTCACATCTTCTTGATCCAGTCATCTATTTTTGGGCATTTGGGTTGTTTCCAGGTTTTACCTACTGTAAATAGTGCTGCAATAAACATAGGTGTATAGGTGTTCTTTTGAATCAATGTTTTTGTATCCTTTGGGTAGATTTGCAGCAATGTGGATGGAACTAGAAGGAAGTATGCTCAGTGAAATAAGCCAGAAGGATAAAGAAAAATATCGGATGGTTTCACTTATAGCAGGAATATAGGGGAACCCATAAGACATCAGTGTAAAAAAACAGTAACAGTACAAAACACAACAAAGCAAAAAGGGACAATTATAAATCAGAGACATCCTGCAGGGGAGGAGGGAGAGGGATCAAAGGGAGGGAGGGAAGGAGGAGCCCCGGGGACTGAGGTGATGGTGCACGGGTGCCCTGGGGAAGGAGACTATGGGGACTACGTGGGGGGGGGAGCAAATATTGTTTAAAAATGAACGATGATGTAAAAAATAAAAAAAATAATAAAAAATCTTTGATGTCAAAATACTTTCACTCAGAGAATTCTATTTGTCCAGATTACTTTGAAATCAAGGAACTAATCCAGTGGAAATAAAACTATTCTGAAGAATGCAATTAAGCTTTTAAAACCATATACTTAAGAAGTCTGATAAACCGCTACTTAAACATGAATATAAAGATTATTATAATAGCACAAACAAAACTGGGTAACAGCAGAATGTCCTGTAATGGGAAAATTATTTTACAAATGCTATACATCAGTACAGAGACATTAAAAAGAATTTTGCAAATATTCATATGACAGATGAACAAGGCAAATTACAATTCATTGTGTCTGCCTGGGGTCTGCAAAATAAGACCTGTGAGCCCACCACCTATTTCTGTAAATAAGTTTAACTGGCTCTGAGTTTATGGCTCCTCCAGGACTGTTCTGGAGCTACAGAGGCAGAGCTGAATAGTGGTGTCAGGCCCTATGGAGGCCCCAAACGGAAAATATTGACTATCTGACCTCTTCCTGAAAAAACTTTGCCAATCCCTAATGTAAACTATTCCAATTATGTTAAAAGTATATGAAAAAGGACTCCAGATTAATATACAAAATTAATAGTGAATTTGAGATTACGGGGGAGGGGGGGAGCGAGGACACACTGGACTACAGTGGATGCCCAAGGTGGGGCCTTGGTGGCGGGTGTGGGACATACAGCTGAGGAGTGAACCTGCACCTCTGCATCACAGACAATGATGGAAACCAATGTCACCTCAATAAAACCAAAAACCAAACCAAAATCTAAAAATTAAGTTAGTTTCCCATTTTCAAAATGTTCTTTAATGTTGTTTTATTGAATCCTCAATAGGCAGATACAGGTCCACACCTGTCCTATGCACTGCGGCAGACGAGCCACGCTACTCAAAGTGAAGCGGGAGTAAGCTCTCTGCAACCCTGGGCGCGCACACCTCACACCTGCAGCTTCACCGGGATGAAAGCACTAGAGCGGCCATCATGTAGTTAAGGTGTTTTTCCCCTTGAATTTAACCATCCTGACTGTCCTAATATGCTTCTAGCTTTCTGCTCAGGCCACATTTGAACTTTGTTCTCTTTCGGGTAACCCTCAGCTAGCAGTTCTGGTTTTTATCTTTAGGAAGGAAACGGCCCAGCCTTCAAGGTCCCCCCAAAATAGCCTCCCCTTGAGGCACCTTTCCTCATAACACCGGTAGAAGGATCCCTTGCTCTGTTCTAGGGCTCCAATCACACTTAGCTCATACCTGTCGCAACAGCACTTAACGTGACAGCCTGCTTCCTATCCTGTACCTTCCTCTGGTATCAGCAGAAAAAACCCAAGCTCAGGAGTTCTTGTAACTGTAACATCTGGCTGTGAGGTTTCTGGCAGTCCAGGAAGAAAAGAAGCATCTCAAGCTTCTATCTATGGCCTACGGACGCTTGACCATACAAGTCCCTGGATGTGCTCCCACAAAGGCGTGCTGGTTTAAACCAGGCCCCACGTATCACTTATATGCAACATAGGTATTAAAAAGGATAAGGTTAAAAAGAAATGTATTTCTAAAAAACGGGCATAAGAGCTAAAAAGAAATTTCTCCAAAGAGGAAATGCAAATGGTCAACAGACATATTAGAAAGTGTTCAACATCACTTGTAATCAGGGAAATGCAAATCAAAACTACAATGAGATACCATCTCACACCAGTGAGAATGGCACATATTAAAAAAATGAGCAACAACAAATGCTGGCGAAGTTGTGGAGAAAAAGGAACTCTCCTGCACTGCTGGTGGGAGTGCACACTGGTCCCACCACTATGGAGAGCTGTGTGGAGATTCCTCAACCTGCTAAAGATGGAGCTTCCATATGATCCAGCAATTCCACTCCTAGGTATTTACCCAAAGGACACAGAAACAGTAATTCCAAAGGGCACCTGCACCCCTATGTTTATAGCAGCACTATTTACAATAGCTAAGCTTTGGAAACAACCCAAACGCCCAAAAATAGATGGCTGGATCAAGAAGATGTGGTACATATACAACATGGAATATTACTCAGCAATCAAAAAAGATAAACTCGTGCCATTTGCGGCAACATGGGTGGAACTGGAAGGGATCGTGCTCCGCAAAATAAGCAAGAAAGAAAAAGAAAAATACCAGATGGTCTCACTCATAGCAGGAATTTAGAAAATCTAAATAAAGGACCAGGAAAAAGACTAATTGCAATAAAGTAAAAATCAAAATCAAAATCAACTATAAATCAGAGACACACTACAGTGGGGGGGGGGTGGAGGAGAAGAGGGATTAGGGTCAGAAAAATGGGGTGGGAATTGTATGGGGAATATAACCAAAATGAAAACGCATACATTGTGCAAAAATGAAAAATGATGTAAGAATTATAAAAAAAGAAATGTATTTCTAAATTCTACTATTTTCCTACTGTCCTTCAATGGCTCCTTTTTTCAGGTATCCTACCTGGGTGACCGCTGAGCTATACAGTTCTCATTTATTATACAAACGCACCCTTAAAACATGCCCTAGTGTAAATTTTCAGAGGAATCTGTTGTGCATTCTTTAAAGATGTCTGTAGTAGTTCAATTAAAAATTACAAAAAGTCAGCATGTGACCACTTTTTGGGTGGTGGACCCCAACAAAAAACATGCCCTGGGGTGTTTCTGTGGTAATTATGTGTTTTAGGTATGCAAAGCTCAGGTTATCTAACAGGATAAAGAAACTAAAGAATCTAGAGAAAGGGAGGCTAACTGGGTTTTTGGTCCTTTAGACGATCTCTTGAGTATCTACAACCTGGCCTGTCCGTGAGGGGTATTATAGAAAAGATGATATAAACCATAAAAATGTATTGCAGCACTTAAAATCCTCCCACCCAAACATGGTCTTTTCTTTTCTACACGTTAATTTTTAGGCCCCCACACTCTGCGAACAGCACATGCTGACAACTGGGAGCGTCTCTTCAGCTCCTTCCCACTTCTCTTCCACCTTAAGCTCCACAACTTTCACTGTATTCTGACCTCACAAACATGACACTGAGCACAAAGTCAAGTATACATGCTTCTTAAGACTAGCAAACTTCCTCTAGTGTTTAGAGGACTATCTAGGGCACGTTCTCCTTGGTTTCCAGTCACAGCCTGCTACAGCTGGCAGACGCCAGCTTGGGTACAACCTGTGATTTATCCTAAAACAAAGCAACTCAAAGTCATCCAACTGATGTGTCTCTGACTGGGTGTTAGTGAGACTTGTTAAAAAATGAAGAATGGGAACGCTAAAAATTAAGATCGATCTCACACAAAAGAAATAATTTAGGATGAACCTTACTGTGTGGCCACACTCTTAAAACCATCTAGAAGTTTCCCCACTTCATATAAACTTCTGCAACAAATACTGAGCTTACCACTTTTGGAGTAGGCAAGACTGCCACTGCAAGTAGATTTCCCTTCATATTAGGAGCACTGCAATCAGCCCAGGAGGGCTATAATTAGTCTAAGCACACGTAATAAAAATATACGTTGGTATCCTCGTCCCTCATCGAGAATAGAAATTAAAAGACAAACAAAAACACCTACATTGACACTGAGAGTGAAGAGCACAGGGCTCCAAAGATGGCCAGCTCTGAGACAGTGGGCTTAGTCATATGCCGGCAGTGGCACTTCCTAATTGTGTGAACTAACTGTGATCTTGGGCAAGTCATTATCCTGAGTCAACTTCATCCTCTTTAAAATAGGGAAACCAAGCTCTTTCTTACTTCTGATAACTCATAATGCTCCTAAATCGAGCCTGGCACACAGTAGGCCACCTCTGAAGAGTAGCTAAATCCCTCCCCTCCCTCTTGCTGACTGAAGCATCACTGGTTAGGCTCAACGGGCCAGAAACACCTGCTCTTTACTCGATTCCTTGTGCTCAGCCACCAGTCCCATGCTACTGACTCCCCAAGTGAAGTCGGGTAAGAGGACTCCTGCCCCTCCCTCGATTCCTGCAGCACACACGTGCCAGGCACGCACACCGTAGGTCCTGCAGGCGACCCAGGGTTGCATGGTCCTTTCCTCGGGAAGCTCCTCGTATCCTGGGGAGGGAGGCTGCAGACCGCAAAGTAGCCAGAGACCTCAGTGGGAAGAAGCGCGCGGCCAGAGGCGAGGACCCAGCCCCCGGACCCGGGTGCCTGGTTCTGGATCGGCCTGGGTCCGGGCTGGCGGACGCTGCCAGTGCCGGTGGGCGGCCTGCCCGTCTCTCCACCCCGCAACCCAGCCCGAGGGTCCGGCCCGTGGGGCTCGGGCCGACCGGCCCAGCCCAGGGTCAGGGCCCGCTAGCCCCGGCCCGCTCACGACTACCTGAAGTCGGGCGGCTGCAGCGCGTTCAGCGCCGCTTTATCCAGGCGCTCCATAGCGTCGCCGCGCCCACAGCAGGTGCTCGGAGGCCGGAGGGGCTCTGGCGGCGCGGCGGCGACCGGTGGGGCGGGCCGGGCCGGAAGTGGCGGCGCGCGGCGGGACGCAGTGCGCAGGCGCGGCGCGCGCCGTGACGTGAGAAGCAGGCGCGGGCGCAGGCGCGGCGCGCGCTCACGTGACTTACCGGCGGGGCCTCCGCGGCGTGCGAAAGGTCAGCAGCGGCCGGCGCTCGAGGAGCAGGCCGGGCGAGTAGCCCAGCAACTCCACGTTGAGTCGGGACTTGCCTCGCAGCATGGTCCCCGAGCGGGCGGGACGGCCGCCGCCCCCTACGCGCGAGCGCGCGCCTCTGGTCTCCGGCCCGGCCCCGGTCGCCGCGCCGCTGTGTTGAGGCCACTGGAGCAGGAGAGCCGCGAGGAAGGACGATCTGGCCGACGACTGCGGTGCTAGGCAACCAGACGGTTTCCGAAGACAACAACACAAAAAACGCAGTGCACATTATTCCCCGGCCCTTGAGCAAACGCCCCATTAATTACTGCCCGCTGTGCAAGTCCAGCTGTGGGACGGGGCGGGGGGGGGGGGGCGGGGAGGAGTTAGAGGAACACTCACCGAGTCTGGAAAGCTCAGAGCTGAAAGGGCCCTTGTTGAGAGCGACTGCTCCAGGCCCGATGCTGGTGACCCCAACTTCCACTTAAAGTTAGAAACATATTTTGCAGCTGCTCAAAGCCGCCAATGAGACAACAGGGACTCAAATAGTAAGGACAGATGGGCCTCCCGGGCCTGCGCAACCCGAGAGAGGGCTAAAGGAAGAGGGTGCGTAAGCCTAGGGTCAGGCTTGACAGAATTAGGTTGCCACCGGCCACTAATACGGGGACAGCCCTTACATGGTCAACGCTTGGAATGTGCGCTGACCACACATCTATTTTCTGCAGCACATGGACACAAAGACCACATCTGAAATCATTGCTAAACCAGCAACGCAGAGCGGCGTTCAGGGCCATCGACCAGTGGCAGTAAGCCAGGGTTGGAGTTCAAATTAATCCTCGTCTAGACCCTCGGGGGGATAAGAACCACCTAATGCCTGATCCTGAGAAGAACTGAAGGGAATCTAGCTTTGGGGTCGACACACTCGCTAGCTGACAAATACATACAGCCTGCCCGCCACCTGTTCTACAGCCTGCAAGTTGAGAATAGTTTTTCCATTTTAAAATGGAATCAAAACAGCAGTCCTTTGCCCCGTGTGAAAATTTCGTTAAGTTCAGATTTCAGGGTCCATAAATAAAATTACATTGGCGGGCCTCCCCGGTGGCGCAGCGGTTGAGCGCTGGGTTGCGAGGCTGCCCGCGGCCTCTTTGACGGCGGTTCGATCCCCGGCTGCTCCCCAGCCACCAGAGGAGGGTCCCACATGGCGCGCAGACCTCTCCTGCCGCCCGCTGCTCCCCTCAGCAGTGTTCTTCGATCCTTCTGCCTGCTCTGCTCCCCGCTCTGGCTCTGGTGAATTCTCTCACCCTCCCGCGCTTCTGACTGTACCCAGTGCATGTATAAACAAAACAAACAAACAAATAAATACAAACATGCCTCTATTAAAAAAAAATTACATTGGCACTCTCACACTCATGCCTTTGTATTGTCTATGCCACTTTCCTGATACAGGGCAGGGTTGTGTAGCTGTGATGCAGGCTGTAGGGTCCACAAAGTCTAAAATGTTTGTCCTTTTTTTTGGGGGGGGAGAGTTTGCCGACCCTACTCTAGATAATCACCCTGTAGTGAAGTCCTTGGACCCCTTAAGGATCTGTAAGTGAAGTAATGGGGGTTCTGAGAACAGTTTCCAATAGTTTAAAAAAACCTAATGAGTTGAATATATCTACTTGCTATAGGGGATCAACAGCTGCTTAAAACATCACCTCTTTGATTTTTTGGCACAAGTTATATCACATTGCTGAGGTAATCCTGGCCATCTCAAGAGAAAACAAAACAAGCTATCATATACTTGGGCCCACTAGATCTTTTAAAACACAGAGTGGCTTTGTGTATTCCCAATGCCTAGAATATGGGCCTGGCATATAGTAAGTACTCAAATGTTTGTTAAATAAATGAAATGGGCCTACAAGGGGACAAAGTAAAAAGGTTCTCGGAAATGACCAGATCAGGAACCACCGATGTGGCTGTACGAGCTTATTAAGGCTGCTGTAACCATGTTCCACAAACTGAAGGCTTGAACAATGGAAATTCGTTGTCGCCTCGTTCTGGAGGGTGGAGGTCCAAGATCAAGGTGGCAGCAGGGTCAGTTCCTCCTGAGGACTGTGAGGGGAATATTTCAGGCCTCTCACCTAACTTCTGGTGGTTGGCTAGCCATCTTTGGTGACCTCGGTTTGGAGAAGCATCCCTCTGCCCTTCTCTCCATGTGGCGTTCGCCCTCTGTATCTGTTGCTGTGTCCAAACTTGTCCTTTTCATAAAGAGCCATTTCGGATTAGGAGCCCACTCTATTCAATGTGACCTCATTTTAATTACAATGACCCTATTTCCAAATAAGGCCACCTTCTAAGGTATTCTGGGTTAGACTTCCATGTAAGAACTTGGGAGGGTGCACAATTCAGGTTGTAACAGTCGTCTACACTTCTTGTGCTGCTAAGGAGAGTGTCCTGGAGAGGGGATTTTCAGAAGACCCATGTGATCTATTGGGGAGTCCCTCGTGCCCGATTCCCAGTCCTGCTTGGTATATAGCAAGCAATCAATAAATATGTGTTAATTAAATGAATTGGGTCCACACCCAATTGGGTCACACCTTGATCTTGGACTTCTACCCCCCAGAACTGTGGGACGTCAGCAGTCTGTGTGGTACTTGCACCGTAACTCAAACAGATGCGTTCATAAATGAGATCTGATGTGGGACAAATGCCCCACTGATCTCAGTTACATATTGCAATTGTAATTGTTCTTTTTTGTTTTTTTTTTTTTTTAAGATTTATTATTTATTTATTTATTTGTACAAGCACTGGGTACAGTCAGAAGCGCGGGAGGGTGAGAGAATTCACCAGAGCCAGAGCGGGGAGCAGAGCAGGCAGAAGGACCGAAGGACACTGCTGAGGGGAGCAGCGGGCGGCAGGAGAGGTCTGCGCGCCATGTGGGACCCTCCTCCGGTGGCCGGGGAGCAGCCGGGGATCGAACCGGCGCTGCAGAGGCTGCGGGCAGCTTTGCAACCCAGCGCTCAACCGCTGCGCCACCGGGGAGGCCCTCTTTTTTGTTTTTTAATAAAGGAAATGTCACATACCTCTTTTTCTTGCTGACTTCTACACTCTGCCAATAGTTACTGAGAGCTCATCATGATAAAGATAGAACTTTTAGAATAAACTCAGAAGCTGTGAGAGAAAGAAAGAAATTAGCCAGCAGTCTGGCCTCTCAACAAAAGCTTGAAACCTCTTACCTGCAGAACCAGAAGCCAGTGGAACCCAAATAACACTGTTGCCATGGGAATATAATGACACATCAGAAGTTATGGTCTATGCAGACAATCCTCCCTAGTGCCTCTGGTTACTCCCCTGAGAATCATAAAATGATTCTCAAGCTGAAAGAACCCCACCTGTCCTTTGAGAAAACTCAGAGGTAAAGATGGAAAGTGACTTTCCCCTAATTCACTAGCTCGCTGATAAGTTAGGTAATTAATAGTCCCTCACTCTCGGTCTAGTGTTTCATTTTTAAACATCTGTATGACAAAGTCAGTACCCATGTAAAGTCGAGTGTGGCAACACCCCTCAATTTACTTTATCGACTCACAATGTCACCATCCCCTGGAGTTCCCCTTTGGGTGGCTGGTGGTGGAGTAGATAACAACTACCATGCTTGAAATTCCAAGCTCTCTGAAGCTGATCCTTGCACAACATGGCATTAAACAAACTAAATCATGAGAGAAATTCAAAATAAGCTCCACCACACCATCAACAAAACTCAAGTTTTATAAAAAGGAGAGAGTCGCTTTATAATGTGGGGTGTGATGGCTTTTTTTTTTTCTAAAAATACAAATGAGTAAAATATGTCCCCCTGGTGAAAAAACTTAGCTCTGCTTCTAGAAAAAAAAAAGTGACTAGGGGGGCTGGGTGGGGGTTTACTTCAGTAAAAACCTTCCCTTGGGCAATGAAATGCATGTTTTACTCAAGGAGGATTTTTCCTTGAATCCCACCTCTGGTCACTACCATCTCCCTCAAGCATATATCCCGTGCTTCATTTCGCAGTGCCTATTCGAAATGCACACAATTTATATATGCCCCCCAGCGGTGGAAAAACGGCGGCAAAGGAAATTTTTGGAGCTGACTAAAGGTCTCACAGACCCCTTGTGTCCTGTCAATTCATTTCCCTAAAATTTACTTCAGGCTCCCTCTCCAGCTCTCTCTGCGGGATAGCAAAGCTGGGGTCTTAGCTCGTGAAAGGATTTACGGATGGAGGCAGGGAGGGGTGGGGGTCCTCAGCTGAGGATTCTTCTCATCCATCTGACCCCAAGGGGTCTGGACAGTAGTTGAGACCTTTAGCACACTTAGTAGAACTCGTGATGCTTCTGGCAAAGCCAGTGTGGGCGCTGGGGAGCTCCAAAGCAAGCAGGGTCAGTGAATGGTCTCACATCCCTGGAACATGGCGGGGTTTGTTACTAACGAGAGGAAGCCCAGCCCATGAGCCCTCGATGCCAATGCCGAGGTGAAGAATCCTGTCTGGCCTGCTTTCCAGCTGGGCCTAGCCCGCAGTCTATGCCACGAGATGGACAGCCGGACAAGGACACCCTGACGATTGATGTGAAAGGGCTGCACCCGAAGATATACACACGTTGTGTCCAACACGGAAGAGGTACTCGCCACGTTGGCTGAATGAAGGCATGCCAGTGTCGCGACGTCGAGGCCCAGGATCACCGACTCCAGAAGCTCAAAAGCTCTTCCAGCCACTGAGGGCGGCCAGATACTGCTCTGCAGACCTTGGCCCCTGGGTTTCCACGAGGTCCTCCCGAGCCCAATGGGCGGCACCCACTTCCGGTCTGGGCGGCTCTGATTGGTCCGTAGACTTCTCCACGCCCGAGTTTCCGGCAGG